AATATAATTATATATTTTTATTTTGAGAATTATAATAGTTTAGTTATTAGTTTTTTTTAACTTCCCAGATTGTGATTTTTATCTCTAGGAGTTCAATCAGGTGTTTTACATTTTCTGTAGGGCACAGGTGAATACACTGAGGTTATAGAAGAGTAATAGAAAAACCATTGAAAACCTCTTGGTGCTTGTGAATGAAAGAGGTCCAACATCAAGGCCTGGGTGCCCAGGACCATGTGTGGGGCCAAGACCATAAATGACCCTCAGGGGAGGTGGGAAGTCCATTCTAGAGAATCAGTCCTCCCAAGACTAGCATCTGAAAGTGACAGAGACCTCCCTTGTCCCCAGCACAAGCCCAACACAGAGGCAAAGCCACTAGTGTGCATAACCTGACACCTCAGGGGAGTGAGTTGGGATTGCAGTCACTCAAAGAAGGCTAAAAGTGCTTCCAAACATCAGGAAGTCTTCCACCCTCCAATCTGCTCTGTCAGCTCACCACCATAGGAATGTGGAATCATGGCTCACAGTTGGAGACCACAGCTCCAGGCTTACAGGAGGGGACCACAACTCTGGCTCATAGGAGAGGACCAGAGCTCCAGGGTCATGAGAGATAACAAGATAACCACATCTCCAGATTCCCAGGACAGGACCATTAGCTCTAGGGTTCATGGGAAAAGACTTCAGCTTCAGGATCTTGGGAGGGGCCACAGTTTGAATTATGCTGCTTCCTGCCATTTTCCTGACTCCACTGCTCTGTCTATATGACTATAGCTGTGATTAAGAAAGCTCATTTTGGCTTCTGTGCAGCAAACAGAAGCAACACTTACTTGCTGACTTGAATTTCTTGTCAGAGGGACATCAATATCGGAGAAAACCACTTTTCACTTTTGCTAAAGAGACAGATGAATCACAGGTGTTTCTTTGTCATGGCCAAGGTCTGGCTGGTTTTTGTTTCTTTTGTTTTATGTTTTTGGTTTTTTGGTGTTTTTTTTTTTATTGTTGTTTTGGTGGGGGGGTTGTATTTTTTGTTGTAGTGGTGGGAGGTTTTGTGGGGGGGTGTTGTTTTTTGTTTTGTTTTGTTTTTTGTATCTGTGATTTTCACTTCACCCTCCTTAGCCAGGGGCAGCCAGTGATGAGATATCTTCTTTTTTTTTTCTCACTGGAGTCACACTCTGCTAAGAGCTGCCACTGCATCCATCTTGGCTCTCCAGCCATTTTCTTTCTTACTTGCCCTCACCCAGCAATCTTTCCTTGTCCTCCTTGGGGTTGGTCACCTGGATGATGCCAGCTCCCTGAGGCATGCCAGGGGTGTGGTGGAATGTTTTCTGCTGCAATCTGGACGCACCAGCTACCAGGCCATGAATTCTGAGAGAGGCAGCTTGGCCTGTACCCAGGCTCTCACCAGCTCCCGCCACCAGTGTGTGAGGTGGACCTCCTAAAATTTCATTTTTTCAATTATTTTTGTTCTTTCTTATATTCATATTCCTTTATTTAATTTATATGGACTAAAATATTTTGCGAAAGTTATAATCACTGTTACCTGTGGACCAGGTATAGGGGTGCACATCAGTAATCCCCAAACTCAAGAAGCAGAAGAAGGAAGACAGTGGTTCAAAGTGAGCCTGGGCTACACAGCAAGACCTTATCCAAAATAGAACAACCAAAACAAAAAGAAAAGAGAGAAAACACACAGCAACAAAATGAAAATGAGAGCTGTCATTTCTCCTCCCCAAAGACTGAATCCATTCCTTATTTCTCAAGATTGGTTTTCTTCAGTAATAGCTCATGTTGAAATCCAATTTCAAGATTCTACATCCAGCCCCAGAGTGTTCAAGACAGATCTTTAAAAAGATTTCATAAAATCTTCTGATTATCTAAACCATAGAAATATGTGTGTCATAGTCAATAGCTTTCAGGACCAAAGCCTTGCATTCCAGGTCAGGATAATCTGTCAAGAAATTCTTTGGAATATCTGACTCCAGAACAAGGTCATTTGCATTT